AATAGGGATGAACACACAATACAAATTGATTAGTTGATTGATTTGTCTAGTGTTGACATTGCCCGTTTGAACAACTACAGTGGATAAAACCTTTTCAACCATGGAACAAGTGAAATATGATTTGCGCAACAAAATGAGCGATGAATTTCTCGCTGATTGGTTAACTATTTTATTTGAAGGAGAGTAGTATGCTATTGGTAGAATGTATACTCCATTATTGATGAATTTGCTATGATAAAAGATCGACGTGTACAATTAATGTTGTAAAAAAACTATGAATTTTTTATGGTATTGGTATCTAATTTTCTAATGAAATGCGGCCCAATACTCTACTATGTCCTGGATCCGCCGCTGATGACTCACCAGTAATTAAATGAAGTAACTCAGCATACAGCCTCATTATGTAAACTTAAATATCACATAATGTACAATTAGATAATACATATAAATCACCAAATGCAGTGAAGCTTGATGGTCAAAGAGCTAGTAATCAATGACAGTTAGACCATTGACTCGCACGAAACTACACCACAAAAAAACATAGTAGAGTTAGGGTTTCACAACACCCAAGTGAAAGAAGATCTATTCCATGCTAAAAATGGGGAACATTAAAAGCTGAAGGAAGATCTATTCACATAAAAGAAAATACATAGTAGAGTTAGAGTTTCACAACACCCAAGTGAAAGAAGATCTATTCCATGCTAAAAATGGGGAACATTAAAAGCTGAAGGAAAACCCTTAGGTTGCTAAGCACAAGCATGCACAATCAATCATGAAAAATACCTCAATCATTGAATTAAGGGCTAATACCACTACAACACCCAAACTATCTGAAAAATGCCACTTGTGTCCTATTGTTTCCAATATTCCATTCATGTAATGAACTATTATATTTGGTGTCATTTGTATCCCGCCAATTTCGTTGACCGTTAAAGATAACAGTTGACCAAACGCCGGTCAACTTAACATTGACTTTTGCTTACGTGGCAATGCCAAGTCATTGACACCTCAAATTTTTAATTTAAATTAAATAAAACTTTAAAAATAAAAAATTGAAAAATCCACCGACTTCTTCTCATTTGCGATGAGATTCTCCAGCCATGGAAAAATCCACCCTCCATAATCTCCGGCCATGAAAAAATCCACCGGCTTCTTCTCTCCTGCGATGAGATTCTCCAGCCGAGACTTGTGATTCCCCCTCTGAATATCCACCATTCCCACAAATCCAATCCCTAGAAATTGGGATTCTCAACCCATCGACTATCATCTCCCAGCTGTTTCCAACTACTCGACCTTACCCCCACTGTTGTCTCCCGATTATGCACCAACTGATATTGCAGGTATGGAGAGAGCGGAACTGATAGGCAAAGTAGAGAGCATGAGCTCACAGCCTGGGTCGGTAGGACGGAACTCGTCGCCGCGAAGGAGATTTCAGCGACGATTTTTGGAGAAGCGGACGGCTCGGAGGCCCGAGAGTTTCTAGAGGGTCGATTTTGCTGGAGGTTGCAATTACGAGTTGGATTGGAGTGGTAGCGGAGCGGGTTGGCGGGTCCGATTCGAGTGGCGGCGGAGTGGGATGAGTATGGTGGTGGCGGATTGGGTTGCCGGGTCTGCTCCAGAATCTAGATCTACGATGCTCAATCTCTCGATCCCTTCAAAGAATCTTCCAATGAAGTGATTTCTAGCTGAAAACAGAGGCTACGGTGATGCAAACTGCCATGGAGCAGAGAGTTCTTACGACAATTGACGGGCGGTGAGGTTTCTCTAAAAGAATCGTCAGGCGTCGAGGTCGCTCTGAAGAGTTGTCGGGCGTAGAGGGATAGAGAGGAAAGACAAAATTTGATTCTTATCTTCTCATTTTTTTTATTTTAATTATTTTCTTCAATAAAATGGAATTAAAAATTCCACGTCATTTTCCACATCTACGCAGACTAGACAATCTGTTAAATTTTAACGGTCAACGCTGGTCAACACTAACAAAGTAATAGTTCAGGACACAGATGAAATATTTGATACAATAGGACACAAGTGACATTTTTTAGATAGTTCGGGTGTTGTAGTGGTATTAGCCATTGAATTTAACAATACCAATGACAATCATTCAATTCACATAAAAGAAACTACATAGTAGAGTTAGGGTTTCACAACACCCAAATGAAAGGAGATCTACTCCATGCTAGAAATGGGGGAAAACACCAAGAGAAGAAGAGGAAACCATCTTGGAGGATGCTCCCAATCTCCTTGACCCTTGTGTTGAGCTTTCCTTGGAGGAAATCTTCCCAAATAAAAATGTATAGTTTTATATATTTTTTGTTTCAAAAGGTTTTGAATCTTGGGTATGGTAAACTTTATCTTCTCACACTACAACCGGGATATCCCTTTCGGGTTAATAAAACCATACTTCTCCTCTCATATTCACTCATTCCAAAACGTTAACCAATTAAGCTCCAAAAAAAGCAATGCTACTAACCCATTAATCAATTAATACTTAGTATGGAGTTAAGACTTAAGTACAAGATCTCGATCCCCTGCAAACTAGCTAGACAGAAACAAAAGCTTCAGAAAGGGGAATAAAAGGCTATATACGACCACAACAACAATGAACTGCTTAATTAATTATACGACCTATATACGTGCAGAACAGATGGGAATACGACACCAACGTCCGCTATGAGACTGCCGCATAATGAGAATATTATCGAACTCCAACCATTTTAACCAATCCCTATAAACAACCCCAAAACCCCAACACATAATCTCAGCACAAACAAAAAAAAACCACATATCGATCGTATAATTAATCATGGTGTACCATATTAACTCCGCAACTCCTGCTCGCACCACTGTGTTGATAGCGATGATTGCAGCACTACTACTACTACTTGTAGTTGTAGGGCACGCCGCCGAGGCGAAATGCCTCACCACCGACATCGTCGGCGGCGGGCCTTGTGGCGACAGCTACGCTTCCTGCGTATCCTTCCTCATCACGTCGCTGCGCGACCTGACACCACAGCTGGATGGATTCCAGCACGACCCGTACTCGTACCCCGACGGAGGCGTTGGTTCGGTCACAGGTGCGGCCAGTTGTTCCCCGAAGAAGGATAAAGAGCACTGCGAGAGTTGCCTTCGCAAGGCCAAGACGTCGCTGGACAGCTGCAAGGACTCGGGTGGCATCGTCAACAACGATGACTGCACCATGTGGTTCGACCAGATCCGTTGATCCCGTAATAATTTGATATGAAATGCCCCGGGCGCGCGCGGCCCAGTACCTTTTTTTTTTAGCTAGCAGAATAATCCACCGAGGCAACTGAAGAGAAAGGTGCATGGTGCGGCGGCAAGCCTAGCTGATGGCTAGTTAATTAGCGTTCGCTCTAAGTATGATCACTTTTTTCTCCCCCCCCCCCCCCCCCCCCCCCCCCCCCGGTCACTTTTTCCTCTTTTTGTGTCTTTGAAATTGCGTTTAGGTCATGGGGGTCGTGCTTTGCTAGTTTTAATTTCCTCGTTTTTTGGGATTCATCAGCGCAAGTTAATTTGCTTTTTTTGTAGTTTCCCCTTTCAATTTCGTCTTGAGAACCTTCTGCTTACCATAAAATAGCTAGTAATCAATGGCACTTACGCGAATGGTATAGCACGTGGCATAATTGGTTCTTGAAAAGAATTTCTGAAATATATCAAACCTAGCGGTGGGGACTAACCTCTTAGTGTTGTGGTATATATGATCCATGATTGAACCTCTTTCAACAACTCAAGTTATTGGTATATCAACTGGTTCTTGACACCAAGTGGCTTCAGAGACAGAATGGTACAACACGTGGCGTAATTGGTTCCAAAAAAGATAATTCTGAAATATATCGAGAATAAATTACAATTTTATATCATAATGAACAATTTATATTGTGTAAAAGAAATTTCGAAATTAAAATTAAAATGAAGGAGGTAAAGGGTGGTAGCGAACTAGCGGGTGATCGGAAATTTTCTTTCCTGAATTATATAAAAATTAGATATAATTCTCAAATGCATAATATGTGGTTATATATACATATCTCCGCCTGATTTTCCTCTCCGACTTTTCCCCTCATATTGACTCATTCCAAAAGGTTAACCAATTAAGCTTCACCCATTAATCAATTAATATTTGATAGTATGGAGTTAAGACTGAAGTGCAAGAGCGAGCGAGCTCGATCTATAGAGAGAAACAAAAGGTTTAGAAAAGGGGAATCAAAGGCGGCCATATATATCGACCAAAATAGCAATGGATTGTTTAAGAAGAACAAATACAACACCAACGTAGGCCATGAGACTGCCGCAGAATGGGAATATTATCGAACACCGAGCAATTTTACCAATCTTGTCGAAATTGGGCCGCTCAATCAGTACGATATTGTTCGCTTTGGGTCAAACCCGCACGGTTTTATTCTTAGATGTCCTCCCCAAAAGGTCTTGTACTAATGAGCTTGGTGGACACTTATATACAAGGATTCCTTCCCTTGTATAATCGATGTGGTACTTGGATTGTCCCATAACAATCCTCCCCTCAAGCCAAGGACCACAAACATCATGTTCTCTCCTTAGTGATTATCTTGATCCCTCAGACGCCTTGTATCGATGGGTTTCTCGGTACAAGGACTTTACCAGACGCAGAAATCTCTTTGATCCGCCTAGCCCAAACGTGGATCTCTCCTGGATCCACCAAACATACGCGAGTCACCCTTGACTAGCCAAACCAGATGTAGCCCAAACCAGATGGTTGCTTCTGGAACTACTTTCCTCCGCTCCCGAAAAGAAAACAATAATTCGTAATACCCCTAAACAAATAGTTTATGTTGAATACACAATGAAGACGTCCGTTAAATTTTGTTAGTTAGACAATGAATTAACCGGAGTTTGGGGCATGATACTATACCCTAACCTCTAATGGGTGAACCCCAGTCCCCAATTCTCTAACCCAAACCATAATATTTATTTAATCTCAAAATGAAAACCAACGGTTCTGATTCGTCATGATCAATACAGATGGGTCCGTTCGGCAACCAAACTCAAGAGCCACAGCAGGTGGATTGATTCGTAATGATCTTGGAAAATGCTTGGGAGCTTTCGCAGCTAATCTCGGAACCTGCACCATAACAAGAGCTGAATTAAAAGGAGTGGTGCTTGGACTTCAACTAGCCTGGAAACAAGGACACAAGAAAGTAATCTTAAAGACTGACTCCCAAGCTGTGTTCGACTTGTTATCTTCGGCGGATCAGAGCTGCACAAGGTACTCTAACTTGCTACGACAATTCCAAGAGATTCGTAAGCAAAATTGGGAAATTCATATTACCTATTGTTATTGTGAATGCAACAAAGTTGCAGACTTTCTTGCTAATAAAGGTCATACCCTCAGCTGTGGAGTTCATGTAATAGATATAGCGGATCCCGGCCTTAATTTCTGGGTTTTGTATGACTCTTTGGGCATCGCCCAAGATCGTTTAATTTAATGTGCCAGGCAGGGGCGCCCTTTTAGCGTCCTACGTTTTTACCAACAAAAAAAGAAGAATTATCCATGTACAGAAAATATGTGTGAACGCAGGCATATAGCGTACGACTGACGTACGCTAGTCTTTGCCATATATATATATGGTGGAGTATTCGGTGCACCCACTTTTTCGGGTGCACTCAGTGCACCCGCCTCATAATTGTCATTATTCTGAACATGCGATTCATGTCAAAATGATATCAATTATTGCTTATGATATTATGAACAAGAAGCACATGAATTTGAAAAAAATTCATTCACAATTTACTTTAATTCGAAGGATTTAGGATTTAGGGATTTAGGGTTAGGGTTTAGGTTTACAATTTGGGATTTTGAGTTGGGATTCAAAATTGAAAGTTAAGGGGTTAGGGTAATAGATTGATTTGTTATGATTCTATGTCATATCATCATATTAGATTGAGAGTACTAATTAAAGTTCAAAATTTGATGTATTAAGGACACTTTTAGAGTTGAGTGCACCGAAGTAGACAATGCATGTATTGTAACTATCCCAACCAAACAATCACCAAAATGTATAGTTGTAAGAATTAGGTGGAAAATTTAACAGATTGATTTTTTTTTTATTTCTAAAATTGTCATGTCACACAATCAACTACGAAAATTGAATGTCACACCAGACAAAGTTAACGAAATTATAAGAAAAGTGACCAAACTTGGAATATTGAACTTATTTAAACACTGCGAATGAAATAAAATATTTTTAGTCAAAACACAAAAAAAATTTAGTAATCTTGTATCTTTAGATAAATCGTTTTATATGTTAGAAACTCTACGATGTACAAATGATATAATTATGCATCTCACCCCTGCCCGATTTTCCTCTCCGATTTCTCCCCTCATATTCAATCATTCCAAAACATTAATCAATCAATTAAACTCCAAAAGCAATGCTAACCCCTCGTAATCAATTAATAATTTGGAGTTAAGACTTAAGTGCAAGATCTCAATATCCTACAAACTAGCTATATAGAGAGAAACAAAAGGTTTAGAAAGGGGAATCAAAGGCGGCCATGTATATCGACCAAACAAGGCTATGAGACTGCCGCAGAATGGGAATATCATTGAACTCCAAGCTCCCTATAAGAAAGCCCCAAACCCCAACACATAATCTCAGTACAACAACAAAAAAGAACCACATATCGATCGTATAATTAATCATGGTGTACCATATATACTCCGCATCTCCTGCTCGCACCACTGTGTTGATAGCAGCACTACTACTACTACTGCTACTCGTAGGGCACGCCGCCGAGGCGAAATGCCTCGCCACCGAGATCGGCGGCGGGCCTTGTGGCAATAGCTACGCTTCCTGCGTAGCCTTCCTCGTCACGTCGCTGCGCGACCAGACACGACGAGTCGTTCCCCGATGGTTCGGTCACCGGTGCGGCCAGTTGTTCCCCGAAGAAGGATAAACAGCATTGTTGCGAGAGTTGTCTTGACGACTGTACCATGTTGTTCGACCAGATCCGTTGATCTCGTAATAATAATTGATATGATGGCTAGTTAATTAGCGTTTATCACTTCTTTTTCCGGTCGGTCACTTTTTTTTTCTCCTCTTTTGTGTCTTTGGAATTGCGTTATAGGTCCTGGGGGTCGTGCTTAATTAGTAGTTTTTAATTTCCTAGTTTTTGGGATTCATCAGCGCAAGTTAATTTGCTCTGTAGTTTCCCCTTTTCAATTTGGTCTTGAGAACCTTCTGCTTACCATACAAGACAGCATTATGCTTCAATCCCACCACCTCGATCTCTCATGCCTTATCATTCGGTAAAGTAGAATACTTAGGGTAGAGCTAAGCGAAAACTTAGAAATTTTTTGAACGGTTTAGGCAAGGAATCTAAAGCGGGGGAAGAGTCCCGTAGTAATCCACAATGATCTGAAACCCCAGAGCTAGGGTACAAGAAGCAACACTGTGGATACCATGTATACCAAATTCCTAGCACCTTGTGATCAAACTAAAATAAAGAAGGTAAAGGGTGGTAGCGAGCTAGCGGGCGATCAAAAAAATTTCTTCATGAAGTATAAAAAAAAAAATTGGATATAATTTTTTAATCGCAATTATTAATCTATCTATTTCACGTAAAAGTTTCAAAATCCAAATTAAATTAAAATAAACACAAAGGAAATTCCTACAATACCTTGAAGTTATGGTAACTTGATGTTTTTGACCTGCTATAACAGGTTTCACAAGTCGCATTACGTAAAATACAGTAGGCATTACGTAATGGTTACGTAATGTGTGTTTATCTTACGTAATAGTTGAAAAATGTCATTACGGAAACCTTACGTAATAGACACTCATTTTACGTAATGAATATTAACCTTTCGTTACGTAATCTGTTGAATCATTACGGAAGGCTTACGTAACACTTCTAATTTAACTGTTACTTAAGAAATAACTATCGTTACGTAACCTTTACGTAATAGATGCATACTTTACGTAACAGTTGTAAAGTGGCATTACGGAAGCCTTACGTAATAGATGGTCCTTTTACGTATTGATATTAATCAAGTTACGTAATGTGGTAAGTCATTACGGAAGTCTACGTAACACTTCTAATTTAACTGTTACGTAAGACATAACCTTCGTTACTTAACCTTTACGTAATGAGCGTGTATTTTATGTAACAGTTTTAAAATGTCATTATGGAAGTATTATGTAATAGACGATGCTTTTACGTAATGAATATTAATCTAGCGTTACGTAAAATGATAAGTCGTTACGGAAACCTTCCGTAACGCTTCTATTTTAACTGTTACGTAAGACTAACAAGCATTACGTAATTGTTACGTAATAAACATTAGTTTTACATAACACGACCTATAAAACCTGCTATAGCAGGTAAAAAACGTCAAGTTATAGTAACTTCAAGGCATGGTAGGAGGTCCCAAACACAAATCATTCAAAAGAAGTAAGTGAATTGGAACCATTTAATAATCTCCACTGTCAAATCATGGCTCACTCAAAATCAAACAACCAAATTTGACTACACAGTATACACGAATGCATAGAGTATACGATTATCCATCTCACCGCTGGTAGACGGATTCCGAAGCTCCCGTTCGTTCCCACCAGATCCATTGATCCGCACGCACGCGTAATAATTGAATCTTCTTGCTAAGGAGAAGGGGGTGAGTTTTATAAGTCGTACATTATCTCCATCTTCTTCTCCTTCTATGGTGGAGCAAACATCATTGAATCTCTTGATGATGTGTTTCACTGGATCTTTGTCATCTTCTCTCCATCAAATTGTAGAGTTGAAGTCACTATAGTTGCATTCAATGGCTCTTGATCATCTCCAAGTTTTTTGCCAAATAGATTCTGCTTGTCACAAAACTTTGAAGCTTTGGGACAGAAAATACAAAAGTCGCCACCTTGATTGCTTCTCGAAGTCCTTTCCTTACTCCCTAAAAGAAAACAATACTATTTGTAATATTCTTGAACAAGCAGCTTCTTTCGAATACACAATTCAAGTTCATGGTAACGGCGCTAAAAAAAACTTGATACAGAAAACACACAAATAATAAACCTAGGTGTACCTAATTAATCTAGGTCATTAGATAGTGAATGGAATGGAGGGTGAATTAATGATATGGTTTAACAATGCTGGATTTTGTATCTTATCCTTTCCTTTTTTAATTAATAGTCTATCTTTCATGCATCATTTTTGTATATTCTAGTTAATCAAGATAAATATTGTAATCTCTGGGGGAGCAACCATTTTTTTGTTTCTTTTCCTATTGGAATAAGTCTCTTATCGTTGGTTTGACTTCTAATCGACTAGTGTCCCTATCTTTCTACAATTTTTCTTTATTGACATGAAAATGTCCCGTGTATTATATCGCATCTTGATGTCGTTTTTGGGATATTCATGGCAAAAAGAAAACGTACGATAACAGTTGATAAATTTCTGCGTATGAATAGAAGTATCTGGTTGAGGTCTCGTAATGGATGATTCCTAATAATATGACGGGTATATTCAATTAAGTATAATGAATTTTGTGCAAATTCGAAATTCCTTGGTATGAAGTTCAGTTTTTATCATTTTTAATTGAAAAAAAATCGAGTTATCGGAATAAATAATTCTTTTTAGTATCATAAATATTCACAATAACAGTGGGAAGCGGGCGGCTAAATACGAACGAGTGAATATATAGGATCTTTACAAGCCAAGTCACAAAATGAAAAGAAGAAAAGAAAAAGATGGTCGATCAGAAATCGATCCGACAATAAAAGAATATGCTTTGCCGCGATCTGAGCAACCCTTTGTCACATATTTCAATATACACTTCTTTTCTAACCTTATACTAACTCAACAAACCGGTCCTAGAAATAAATAAAAATTTAAAAAAAATGATGGCATAGGGAAGTTGACAACCCCCGCCGCACGAGTACTATATGAAGCTAGAAACCAGCCGTTCCCATGGCGCCATGCACAAAGAACCTCGCCTTTTTCTGTTACCTCATTTTCATTCTCATCACCGCCATTACGCAAACTCCCTCCAACCTCTCTCTATATTACGCTTTTCTCCGTTATTTTATCACCATCATCATCTCCATCACCACTTCCCACAAACCTCTCTCCCCCCCCAGACTTAACCACGACCATGTCGAGGGAGCAAGAACTGCTCGCCGCCGACATCGTCGACCGCGGCGTCGTCGAGGGCTCCCAGGCCTTCTCCGTCAGGGTCCGCCGCCGGCTGCCGGACTTCCTCGGCTCCGTCAACTTGAAGTACGTGAGGCTCGGTTACACGTACCTCCTCAGCCACGGGGTTTACTTCCTGGCCGCCCCGGTCCTGCTGGCGGTCTTCGGCGTCCACGTTGGCAGGCTGACGTGGCAGGATTTCTTCCCCGAGTGCCACGCTGTCGATGCTCTTTTCATCGTGGGATTGTTGGGGTTGATGCTTTACATCTACTTCGACTTGGCCCCGCGATCGGTTTATCTCGTCGATTTCGCTTGCTTCCGCCCGCCAAACGAACTCAAGGTACGTACTAATAATTCCTCTTGTTTCGGAGTACGCTGAACCGGGAAAAGTTAAATGGTTTATGGTTCAGCGGTTAACCACTACGGAACTATTGGTTAAGGATTGTTGACAGAACGGTTCAGCAATCTTGGGAGTTCGCGTACTAATCTTTGTTTGTTCTCTTTGAGTTTTGGTTGCTTTGTCCAACTTCTTTCGGTCTTTTTCGTTATCATGCGCTTGTGTAGGAGTTCGTTTTGTTGTACTTTCTCTTATTTTTGTAGGTAATAAAGTTCGTCGTTCATTAAAAAAAATATATATAAAAGACTTATATAATTATTAATTTAGGACTGAATTTATCACTACTCGTAAACAAATTCAAATCCATATCATCAATCACAAAGTTCTAGCAAATCATTCAAACTATATGATAAAAAAAATTCTTGAATTTATTAGTATATAGGGTGTCAGCCCTTAATATACTACATAAAGACGACAAACGGGTTGAAAAACGAGGAACGAGAAGTAGAAATAAAATTAGTAATTCAGGTTGGAGGATATTAGTTTATGTTATAGTTTATTTTTTTCTTAAAATTCTTCATGGTTAATGATAAATTCAGTCTTATAACAGTCAAATCGGGGCAATTACTTCACTTGGTTTAAGGTAAAAAGCGTTACATAAAAGGTTGTCAACCCGCGGGTTGACCCGCGGGTCGACCCACTTTGACCCTGACCCGGTGAGAAAAATGGGCCGCACGCACCTGCCGGGTCGACCGCTACAAGGTACCGGGTTGGAGGTCAAATTGTGTCATTTTTTCTTTGGTTTGCGAAATGTACCTATTTCCCACTTTTTCTTTTCGCATAACTCAATCTTTGAAATTCTAAGTTGAACATTAATTTGAATATTGATGTTATATAAGTGTGTGTGAATTTCACTATATATTGGATCTAAGTACGAAATGTTATTTTGGTGTAATATTATATGTTATAACTCATATGTTAGATAAGATTTGATATAATTTATGAGGATAAGTACAATATAATGACACTTTTCATATTCCCAGGCCAAATCGGGCTAAAACGGTTGACCTATTAACCATTGACCCACTAACTAGACCGGGTCCGGATCAACCCGCGGGTTGACGATCTTGAGAACTGAACGTGGTGACTTTACCAGCTTTTACGGGCTTTCCTTGGCGATTTTTCCATGGATCTTTAGCAAAGAAAGCCTTGCTCAACCTGTGGATCTCTGGCAGTCTTATTGGGTTTTTCGATGAAGAGCCCAAATGGTAAACCAGATCCACATGCTGTTTTGCAAGTGCCATAGCAGTTATTCCAATAGTTGCATCCACAACTATGTCAGCTGGTATCTGCAATCATATACAGCGGTTCTTTTTGATTGCGTGATATCGTATATTATGGAGAAATTTTACAATGCTATATAGTATTGGTGCTATAGGTTTTTGCCTTTATGGTATAACTTAAAATTGTACATTTACGTTACGGTACAACTTCATATTGTACCTATACTTTTTGTACAAATTCTTTTATGGTACAACTTGAACTTGTACCTTTATGTGATGATAACTTCAAGTTTTGAAGTTGTACCATCACATAATGATACAAATTGTTTTATGGTACAACCTAAACTTATACATTTAATGTTATGGTACAACTTTACCGTAGAAGTGCTCATAATATGATGATGATATAACACGAAAAAAGGAAATAACGATGCCAAGAGAGACAAGAGTGCCAAAAAAAAAACATTCATACCAAATCAAGAATGACATCTGGTCTATGGACGATGCACTTCAGTCTTCCTCTGGCATAGCTCACAATAAATCCGTCAAGCGTCCTATATAGGAAAAAAAATTGTTCGGTTTTTAATAAGTACTTGAAAAATACACATCTCAAAACTATTAGGACTTTGCTACGGTGACATGCATGTCACCGTAACATGGACTTTTCGATCAACCTAATATAGGATTAGATCAACCTAATCTGCTGTTTCATTATTTATGACTGATTCTGTTGGTTTGAAACGTAATTTGTATGAGCAAAAGAACCACCCACATCGACATACATAGGCAAAAAAGACGCAGGGCATATGTTGATTTACCTTTATTAGGTCGACCGCAAAACCAACACGATCTTCATTTTACGTCAAATGATGATGGATAAATGGATACAACACTTTTCTTCTATCTGGTTGGCCTCTTTCTGTAAATGGTCGACCATTTTGTTAATGATCACCATCAAGTGGTCGACCTATATACCTTTATGGTCGACCATTTTGCTTCTGACGCCAATGAAAAGGGCGACCAATTTTTTTATTGTGGTTGACCAACAATGACAACTTAAACTCTTAACGGCTGACCACTACAATTTAAAGGTCGATCGCGATAAGTTCTTAGGGTGCCCACAATAGTGTATTAGGTCGACCTCTATTAGGATTAGGTCGACCGAAAAATCCATGTTACGGTGACATGCATGTCACCATAGACATACCCAAACTATTAATTAGCATGAAAATATCTTACACGTGGTAAAGGTTTTTCATTTGAAAGGTCTGGATTTCGTAAAAAAAAAATCATACCTGTGTGACACGAATTCTCGTGTTTTATGACGTTGATGGCAATATGATCGATGATTAGTTAGTAGTTAGGGTTTAACAAACTCGATTAACCTTTAGTGAAAACTAAACACTCTCGCTGATGTGGTTAGATTACTTCTGACAAAATCCACCCGTAGAGTGTAATTTTCAACCGAGTTAAAAAAAATTCTAGTGTATGAACCCTCAATTTATAAAGCAGCAGGAAGCCAGTAATTAATTTCCAACCAATTGTTTAATAATGAAGGATTGTAAAACATACATGAGTTTGTGTTGAAACCATGATTAATCGTGGTTCAACCCTTTTATACCGCAAAAAAAAAAAAAAAACCCATCTCCTGTTCAAACCAGGGGCGGACCCAGGTGTAGGAGACACCCCTAAAATTTGGGGTAATAATTAATCAACAAAGATAGTAGTTTGAGTATGAAAAAAAAAGGATAATAGTGTATGTGATTCGAATCTATAACATAGTAGTTATTACTGAACATCTTTTCTATTTGAGTACACTTCGTTTGTTGTTGTGATTTTTTCATATATTCTCAAAATTTCCAAAGTCTAAAATTAAACCCACGAACTATCCCTTAACCCTATTGTTTTCCAATGGTCTATTTGCTCCTCAAAGTTGTGTTGATTTTATCAATGGCAACTCCAAGTATTGAGACTTGAGATAGCTTTACCAGTTTTGATAGGATAGTTTATTTTTTAATATTTTTTTAATTTAATTTTTGAGTGTGACACTCTTATATAAAATATCTGGATCCGCCACTTGTTCAAACTCCGACAAATAGTTTCCTAGTTTGACCACCTGTACCGCACGGTTTTACAAATTTACAATAAATTCCCATAAGCTTAGTAGTAACATACCTAACACCTTCCAACCAACCAGGGAATGGGTCTTTAAGGGTACTCGTCACCATTGTTGGCCTTATGATGACAAGAGGGAGGTCTCCTTTGGACTCCACCATGACCATCTCCGCCATTGCTTTTGTAAATGTGTAGGTGTTAGGCCACCCATAGTAACCAGCCCTGAATTCCCACATACTTATATATGAGATTACAGTAAAAATAAATCAAGCAGTTTGGAAGCAAATTAAAGGGAGAGTGGAAAAAAAATGAATTTTTTTTTTACCTTTCGAGGCCGAGATTTTTCATTCCAGTGTCAATTTCCTCGTCGGTGCGATTTTGGGAATGCAGTTGGTGCAGTCGTTTTTGGGCAAGCTCGATTTCACCACTCAATATGTCCATGTTGGTTCTTCCTGATCTAGCGGCTTTTCCCAGGATCAGGGGCTTCTCCATGAGAATCCCCCGCTCTTCCCCATACACATACGCTGTGATGTTGAAATCGGAGTGTTGGTGAAATTTTAACGTATCGGCAGTTCGACCGGAAAAATACCAACGTATCGACAGTTCGAGTCTAAATTGGTAGCTAGGTGAGTTTTTGTGGTATGAAATGTTCGGATTATGGTGGTTTTTGCATGCATACATGTCATTGTTTAATTTAATTACCAGTTGGGACTTGGATAAGCAACTTGATTTTGGCACATTTCTTGGAGAAGTTGAGCACGTGCAGAGCTCCAAAAGTATTCGTCCCAAGTGCCACATCGTACCTTGAAAATCAAAGTGCCAAAGTAGAATGAAGACAAAGGAATAACTATATATAGATTTTGAAAAAAATAAAAGAGATTAACTAAACAAAAAATCAATTAATAAGCTAAACCTTTCATCAAATTTGGTGATGGCTGCAAAATTAAGAACCAAGTCGGTTTCCTTGAGGATTTCTTCCTTCAAATGGAGGTCCACTATCCCCAAATCCTCAGAAGAAACGTTTCCAGCAACAGCAACCACTCTCTGAAATGGAAGACTGGAAACCTGCTCCCCATTCATCTTTCAAAACCCTAAACACCTCCTTCCCAAGCACCTATGAAACCTGCTTCCCACTTTCTCTGAAATTAGGGAAAATGTCAGTTTTTATCCTCTGTTTATTACCGGGTCTCGTGAAAGTGAAATTATTAGAATCATTTGGCTATACAAAAGAAAAAAAAAAAAAATTCTAAAGTGGAATTATTAGGGATATTTTGGACATTTATGCCACCTAAACCAAAGTTTAGCCGTGTTAACGATTTTTGGATGAAAATGTTAACAGCAAGAGTATGTTTGATCATATTTTCAAAGTATAGAGGCATGTTTGATGTAAAAAATATTAGAGTGACATATTTGATAAAATGACATAATAAAAGAGCATATTATACCTATAAATATAATGATCAATCTCTCCCTTGGTTAAAAAAAAAATCCCCTAAACTCCCAAAATCTCACTTATTCTCAAACCTCTTACGTGAAGAGATGATTCAGTGGTTCCGTCCAAGGCCTGAGTTCAGGTCCTTAAAGCCTATTCTTTAAGGAGAAACTTAAAGCAATCCTATTGGTTGCTGAGTTTTTAGTTAGTTATTAGGAAGTTATAAGTTAATTAGTTAGTAAGGGTATTTATGGAATAATAATTAATATTAAAATTATAATAATTAACCCTAATAACCTATTTGCCCACGTATTCATTCGTACCCAGCCGTACCGCAAGTCTCCTCAAATTCCGTCGCTGCCTTTCGTTTCCCTCGTCGTTTGTCCCTTAATCACGATCTTGGCGTCCGGCGTTCGTCACTCTCGTTTGTGCGGCCGGCGTTTCTATCGTAGTTGTCCATCGTTTCGGTTGCCAAGTTCCTCCTTGCCGTCGAGTTCACTAACAGCAGCGTCGCTCCCGTCCTTTCCCCTTTGCTGCCGTCGGCCCACTAGCCTGTCGCTTGCCTGAGTTCCCTCAACAGTCAACAGCAAGCTCCTTAGTTCTGTCAACATCTACTTCACCCCGGATTTCGGTGTCGCTCTCGTCCGGCGGCAATTCCTTCCTGTCCCATAGTTTTCATTGCTAATAATGTCTAATAACGTTAATAACCATTAGTTTTCATTGCTATCAAAGTTTTTTGTTGCGTTTCCAATGAAACTCATGTTAGTTATTAACCGTTGTGTGGTAGTAGCATTATTAATGTCTTTTAAGGGAGCTATCATTGTTTCCGACGAGAGTTATAACAATTTGTTTTAACATTATTAACCACTAGGTCGCATCATTATCAATGATTCTGCTTGCATTTTCTACAAAACACATATATGTCATTAATTGTTTATATTATGTTTGTCAACGTTTTTTATGGAGATTTTATCTTTCTGTTGGTTAAAAACATGACACAAACTAAGAATACGTCAATTAAGACTGTTCCTCCTATAAACCAACCTAAGAGTGCGAGCAACCGAAGCAGAGAGCAATAATGATGATAGGCTCAGTCCCATGTGCAATATGTCCCTAGTGTTGAAGATGGTAAAAAATATGAGTCCCCAACGTGCTATGTGAGGTACATCCACAAGCATCGTACTATTTGTTGGTTGATGATGTAGAGCATTCGAGAACCCACTCTAAATATATATATGCGAGTTTTGTAATGTTTGTTATTTTCTAATGACCGTGATTGGCTCTTAAGATATAATATGTGAGTTTAATAACCTCCTCATTGTTAAGGTATTTTATTATTAATGTTATTAACATGTTTTGCTCCTTTTTAATGATTTTGATCATATTTTCAATACTTAAACCCATATTATTATAAATTTAGACTTCATTATTAATCTTTTTTGGGGCAGTTGTTAATTATAAATTTATCCGTAATAATGGTTGGATAGAGGCTTCATTCTTAACGATTTTCACCCCACTATCAATGGAAAATAATCATTAGTAACGTCTCTATTATCGGTTTTTTTATACTAAAATAAAGAGTACACCGTTATGAGTGATACTTTTGTTCCACCCACCTCAAAAACATTTTCCAATTACATGTTAAAAATCCAAGATAACGTTTTCAACTTTTATAATATGATTTTTCAACGATATACAAAAACATTACCACCATTTTCTCATGTTAAAATGTTAATAATTGAAACAATTTTTGTTAATAATGTTATTGAATTGCAATCATAAGTCAAACAAATAATATAATAATAAAATATTAATGATTACATATTAAATCATTAATAACAAATGTTTCGTTAATAATGACATACTAGAACATTGTCATTAGAGTAAAAAACATTGATACATATAACGTTAACAAAACCTCTAAAATTATTACTACTTTCACATTATAATGTTGATAATGACTACCACTCACTATTCACACCAAATTACTAATAACTACATTCTGATTATTAACAAAATACTGTCACTTTGCAACGGGAGTCTAAGAGCTTTAATGATGATGGTCGGATGTGCTAGCAGGATGGTGGCGTCGCAGAAAGTAGCGTCATCGGGATGTTGGAGATACGGGAACTGTAGCGTCATCGGGATGTTTGTCATCCACAAGACGGTGGTCGTGGAGTAGTGGCGCCGCAAGTGCACAGGTGTCGTCGGAAAATGGGCTAGCGGACCACCGAAGAGGCTGGGGATGTCGGAGCACTTGACGGCGGTTGCGTCGTCCACCGCTCGCCAGTTACGGAGGAAGGAGACAAGGCGGGACGGAGCGATTGGGATCTACAACGGCGGAGAGGATGGCGACGGTGGAAAGTTTTAGATTTGGGAGGAGAATAAATTTTTGAAAATAGTAAACGGCGCTCGTATGCGTCGTGGGATTAATTCCATGTTTTTCATTTTTATTACTAATTTTATATTATATCTCATTCTAACCCTTGTAGGTAGTTAGCCAATGATTAATTATAATTATCTCTCTCCTCTTCCTATTGGTTGGCAAAGGTTTAAGATTCTCCTTAAGAAACATGGCTTAAGGACTGGATCTAACCCGTGGTTCCAAGGAACTCAGCACAAGCCTATCGCATTGATTTCCAACGTAACTACTTTGTCCCCCCTAGGCCCTAGCTCTAATGGGCTTCGACATGTCGTTCGTTGAATTGGGTCTCACTTGCCAGCTAGCTAGCTGATGGTTGACAACATGTGATACACATGCTTAGGTTTTGGATGATGTAGAGAGGATCAAAAGGAATGTACAGATACCTATCGAGTTTATGGATATAATTTGGAAATGTACGTACGTATTTGAATAAGGACGAAACTTAGCTGCAGTTTGCAACACCCTGCTGTCTGGGGATGGCAATGGAGCGGGTTTGCTTAAACCATCTCCATCTCCGTTTTCAAATATCCAAACCCATACCCATCCCATACCCATACGGGAAAGGATTTGCAAACCCGTTCCCATACCCATGGGTTTCGGGTACCCGTGGGTGGGTATTACCCGCCCAGTACATCCAACATTATAATAGCTGAAATTTTACATACAAAAATTTCATTTATAATACTAAACGCACCTACTATTTCATAAAGTCAACAAAGAGACAATCATTCTTAATACGATTCTAAGCATCTTATTCTAAAACATCCAATAATCCATAAGATAGAGTAACAATATAAGCCAACTCATTATTCTCTGACTTTGGTACATCTATTTAAGTAATAATTTACTAACAAAATGTTGTTAACATGAGGGGAAAAGTCAAAGAATAAAGGAAGATTTGGAGGAAATGAATTATGTTTTGATTTGGGTGGTCACTCAATTGTACTTCTACTATTTATTTTCATGAGTTACCCTCGATATTAATGATAGATTACAATTTAATCAATGTACTTTTTAAATGTGAAGAAATGTTCTTGGTGGGGCGGGTATGGGTATGGGTATGGGGCGGGGGAGGCTAAAACCATACCCGCCCCATACCTATTAAACTGTTTGCGGGTTTTACCCATGCCCGGTCAATGCGGGGATCCCCGCGTTGACTAGGTCGGGGGCGGACGGATACCCGCGACCATGAGTTTGATTTCCATCCCTACTGCTGTCAGGTCCGTCATACGTTTTTTATCCCAGATAAGCTTGAAGGGGTTGCCTATCAACTCACATGCAAAACTGATAAGTACCATAAGTGGTAGTGCCACTACAAAAATACTATCATTAGTGACCAGTCGTTTCCTTCAGTAAAGGCCAGATTCCGTCACAAATGTTCTTTTGCGACGCCACGATGCTGTCGCGCGGTACGTTGCAAATACGAGCGTCACAAAAAAAATTCTTCGTGACGAGCCGCCATAAAAGATATTTAGTGACGGCTACGAGTCATCTCTGATGCGCTTTGAATTTGTCGAACTTGACAGATATTTTTCCGACGACACAAAATTGTCACAATGATTAATAATCTCGTCTGTAATACTTTTTCAATTTGACGAAGCCGACAACAATTTTATTTTTCTGACGAGACATGGTTGTCACTATAGGTAATAAGGTCGTTGGTAATATATGTTCACATTTATTTTACATCATATCCTGATCACAATTATCATGGAGCATACCAGAAAATAAAACCAGAAACACAAGAAAACACACCATAAATAACATAAAGTAGACAAAAAAAACTTGCAAAGCATATCAGAACCTCACCACACCCCAAAATTTATAAAGCATACTAGAAAACTCAAAGATGACTACAAGTTTCTTAAAGCATGCTAGAAACATTTTAAAGCTGACTACAAGTCCTATGAAGTAGACTGTAAACCTCATAAACCTAACCCCACAAGTTTCGTAGAGCAGACCAGAAATCTCATTAAGCATACCACAAGTTGCATGAAGCCATGAAGCGCACCAGAAATCTCATAAAGTTGACCACAAGTTTCTTAAAACATACAAAAAATCTCATAAAACATACCACAAGTCACCTAAAACACACCAATTTTCTCATAAGCCGACGACAAGTTTCTTAAATCATACCAAAATCCTCATAAAGCATACCACAAAGTTCTTTGAAACATAACAAAAAGCTCATAAAACTGACCGCAAGTTTCTAAAAGTAAACAATAAGTTCCCTTAAGCATATAAAAAACTCATAAAATTGTCCACAAGTTCTACGAAGCAAACTAGAAATATGTACAACCACACATAAATTCTCGTAAAAGTAGAACATAAATAGGCGCAATCACGCCAGAAACCTCACAAAGCATGAAAAAATGAGAAACTTACACCATAAATTGTATAATCGAGGACAAGTAATAACAAAAATTATAATGATGAAATACGATTTTTATAATGATAAAATAAAATAAAAATACAAGTAACCTGATGTCCCCCCTTTTTACACAAAGAGAGGTGGAGGTGAGTAGGGGTGGCCATTTGGTTAGGGTTTTTTGGATTTTCGCTGAAATCGGACCGTATAGCAAACAATCTCATTCAAAATTTTGGGTCTAGAGTTGGGGTAAAAAATCGTTCGAGACCAAACAAAAAATCGGATAAAGACCGGATAAGAGAGTCCAACACCCAAAACTTAACCAACTCTTCACCCTTTCAGGCCTCAGGGCACTAAAATCCCTACAAACTCAATCTAAAATCAAGAGCGAATTGGGACGGATTGGTCAAGACCGAACCAGATCAAACCCAGACTGTATCCAATCCAATCTTTGGTCCTTATATTCTCGAAAAGACCGAACTAAAACTAGATCAATTCGTTCCAATTTAAGTGGACCGGACCGTATAGCCATCCCTAGAGGTGAGGGGAAGGCGGAAAGCAAAATTCGTACCACCCCAACCTTACTAGGGAAAAGAAATAAATTGCCACACCTTTTTCCATAAACTTGAACGGCATGTAATCAACATAACTAGCTTCAACCATAAGGATAGAATTAGGATGATTGATTGTTAGATGGACAATAAAGTAATTGTTTATCAAGGATTTGGTCCCCTAGCCAAATTTCAAGGAGTGGTGTGAGATTTATAAGTTTGTGTGACTCGCGGATTTGGATAGAAAAAATAGTTCAAAATTCGTGGACTCCATGAATTCGGCACTCATCAAGCAAACAAGAAAAGCATGGGATTTACGGGTCATTTGCTTCGTGAATTAGAAAAATGGAAGTTTTGGTAAAACCCGAATTTCGGGGAAAACCATTGATATATGAGAATCTTTGGTTTATTATATACTTGAGAAATACAATTGTTTGTCTCATAGATTTCATGATGAATTTTGTTAATTATATTTGTAGTTATGAAGTCAAATATACATTTATTGTCCTCATTGGTATGAGAAGAGAAAGAAAATAGGAGGGGTAAGTTGTTCACAAATGATGGAACGGCAAAATCCATGATGAATTCCCAACTAAAGGGTTGAGATTTTCAAATCCGTTGGACTCACGGATTTTTTGCCAATAAATGCATGAAGCAAACAATGGACTTTGGATAAAGTCATGGTATCAGAACTGATTTGTCCTTGAGGTCACGTGTTCAAGTCCTCACGACCCCCAATTAATATTAATCGTTGTCTTCAAGCGCATAGTATGGGGGACCTGTGCAAACTTCAACCCCATGAGTCGGCTTCCGTTTTGAGGGGGCGTGTAAGGAAGTGGTTCACTACCATACATGGGCGCCTCTCCCAACAGCTCGAGTTATTGGGACCAATGGGTTCATGTCATGGTATCATAGCCTGGTTTGGCCAAGTGATCGTGTGTTCTAATCTTCACGACCCACAATATTAACAGTTGATTAAAGCCTGCATGGGTTAGATTTTTGTTTTCATGAACATGGGAATACACAACCTATTACTTAAGCACCAGTTCCACCCTTTGGATGCATCGCTTACCAAGTTTGTTGAATACTGATTAATGACTATTAATTACGAGGAATTAGTAGGGAACCGATTGTGATAGCAGCGATGTCCCACTGGATCACTTCTTGTGACAGGCGATTAATTAACATAAATTACCTGTTCGTTTTCAACGCCAACCAAACTGCGCCAAACTGTAAATAGTTTGGGAAATTACGGTGGAAGTGTCGTATTATGGGAACTTGATAGTGCAACAGTGATATTCTCGGAAAAACCAATGTACTCCGTACGATGATAACTGCTGCCGGGGAGAGCTTTCAGTTTCTCACACTGCTGCAGCGTAGGCTGAGAAGCTGCTCTCCCTATTTTCGACGCCAACGATAATGCTGCTGCAACTGGAGCAGAAGACTGTCCTGGTCACTGGGGCAATGGGTTTCTCGCAAAGAGTACTCGTAATATCAATGCAGTTAAAAGCGTGTTTTTATGTAGAAACGTTTTGGCGATCTAGAAGTGTAAAATCGTAAGTTTTTAAGTTCTAAAGCGGAATTTTTAACTACATAAGTTATAAAAAGTGGGATTTTGTGTTGAAGCGTTTTAGTGATATAAAAACGTAAAATCGTAAGTTTTTAAGTTTTAAAACGCGATTTTAACTACATACCGTAATATACATATGCTGGGTAGTATTCACTTTGCTTTATATATCTTGCTAGAACGTGGTATAAGATAGTTGTTCTTGTTAGTATGTGGTATTAATTATAAGATATTGTTAAACTTGATTTCAAAAAATTCGGATTATTGGAAATTGAGATCAACGGATTCTTCACAGTTCTACTATCAATGCTCTGCTCTTTAATATTGCAGTATTTGTGGAGATGATACTAAGAATCCAACCCAATGTGAAGAAGCTCTCTACCTTCTCTTGAGAGCTTCCAATTCGTCCTCCGCCGATAAGCGCTTCCACGACGAGGTAATTAGCTATTTCATGGAATTCTTTGCCTGCATGCACGTTGGATTTGCATTTCTTTCGGTTTTCAGTAAACAACGGACGGTGAATAGGGATGACAATGAGTCGAGACTAGCTGGGTAAATTTGATTCAATGGTCATGGCTCATATGGGTATTGGGTTGGATTCAAATGAACTGATTATTGGATCTGTGCGTTGGATTTGAATTGAGTCTAATTGGGGTCAACTCATTTTGGTCCGACCTAAACGAATCTATTTGGATCCAGATGAGTGATGACTATACTGCACAAAATGACAATATCGATCATCTTATCATTAACTACGTACGTTCAACCCAATTACATATTTAGCGTTAATGATTCCATCTTTCTGTTTGTTTCATAACAAAAATAAGGGGTACATTTAGAATCGAATGCCTTTTTTCTTTTACGCAATATTATGAGACCAATTTATATCCAAACTAAGTCTCTTGACCATGTTTGGGAAATGCCCAAAATGTATATATGTATTATGTATATAGGTGGTTGGGAAGGAAGTGTTTAGGGTTTTGAAGGATGAATGGGGAGCAGGTTTCCAGTCATTCATTTCAGAGAAAGTGGTGGCTGTTGCTGGAGACGTTTCTTCTGAGGATTTGGGGATAGTGGACCTCCATTTGAAGGAAGAAATCCTCAAGGAAGCTGACTTGGTTCTTAACTTTGCGGCCATCACCAAATTTGATGAAAGGTTCACTTTATACCACAATTGAACTCTTTTTTTTTTTTTTTCATTTTGTTCAAGATCTACATGTTACAGTTTCCACGTCTTCATATTACTTTGGCTGGCACTTGACCATTTTAAGGTACGATGTCACGCTTGGGACAAATACTTCTGGAGCTTTGCACGTGCTCAACTTCTCCAAGAAATGTGCCAAAATCAAGTTGCTTGTCCATGTCTCAACTGGTAATTCAATCATGCAAGTGAATCATGCATGCAAAAAACGAAACAATTCAAATTTTTGAATATGAAAAAACATGAAGTGTGATAGATGAAGATTGGTCTTTCACTTTTATGAAAACAACGATTACTTATGAAAAAGACGGAAAAAAATGTCATAAAATTCATATTATTGAGTCAAAATGGTATGGTACGAAAAATTCGGTTAACCGAAATCAGACCGGTTTTACAGGCTTATCAATATTTCGTTAATGGGTAAAAAGCGATAAGCCTTTTAACAATTTCGGCTAAACCGAAAAATCGTTAATGAACATATAAAAAACCGATAAGCCATAATGTAACCAAAGGGTGCATTTTTTCGGTTTATCCTGACAAAAATGAATCACTCAAGAGTTCATCAATTTATGGTAACGAAAACCAATTAAGTTTTTGACGATCTCAATTTTGATTTCTGATGCTTTTTTGTTCGATTAACCGAACCGAACCGCTACCTCTAATGTCATGTCAATCATATGAATTTGAGGACTAAATATTCGTTTTGTTTCAATATGTGACAAGCATATGTTTGTGGGGAAGCGCCGGGGATTCTAATGGAGAAGCCGCTGAACTTGGGAAAAGCCGCAAGAGGAAGAAGTAATGTTGTTGAGGTATGGAATGGTGAAAATGAGCTTGTCGCAAATCGGCTGCATCAACTCCATTCCCAAAATCTCACCGACAAGGAGATTACCTCTGCCATGCAAAATCTCGGCCTCGAAAGGTAATTATTTTTTTTTTACGGTAATCGTAAGGAAGTGGTTAAAATACATATATATAAATTATTTTTGAGTTTTTCAAGAATTCGAGTTATTGGGATGATCAGTTTGTTTGATGATATGGTATCAGAGTTGGTTTATCCTTGTTGTTACGTATTCAGGGCACATTACTATGGGTGGCCTAACACCTACACATTTACAAAAGCAATGGCGGAGATGGTTATGGTGGAGTCCAAAGGAGACCTCCCTCTTGTCATCATCAGGCCAACAATGGTGACGAGTACCCTGAAAGACCCATTCCCTGGTTGGCTGGAAGGTGTTAGGTAATTTTCTAGCTGAGATTTTAATGTGCTGCATTCATGATTTACACATATGGCAGTAAACTTTGGAAAAAATCCCACTGTACACATGTTTTTAAAAAAAATTCTCAAAATACACATGTTATGAAAAAAATTCCCAATCTACGCATGTTTGGGCCTTCACCGCGTCTGACCAAGGCGGTGATTGAATCACCGCGTTAGACGAAAACGGTGATTGCATCACCGCGTTAGACAAAAACGGTGATTGCATCACCGCTGTAGAGGAAGGCGGTGAATGCATCACCGCGTTAGAGGAAAACGGTGAAGGTCTGACCTACGTCAAATCTTTAAAAAAACGTAACTTTTTGCTCGGTTATCCGATCGTGATGAAATTTTTTTTGATTCCGCATAATTTTTCGAGATCTTGCAAGTCGCAAACAGCCGTAGGCGGTTTGGTCCCGCCTTCGTCCCGAAAAAACGTCGTTTGCTACCCCGAACGAGCCTTTTTTCGATTTCGTCAAACTTTGGACGACCATAACTTTGTGCTCCATAATCCGAAAATCATGAATTTTTTTTTATTTTGCATAACTTTTTGAGGACTACAATTTTTATCATAGACATAATTTCGGAATGTACTTGGATTCCTAAAAAGGAAAGGTAAACTTATTCTCAAAACCCTGTATATCCAAAATAATTCATTTTTTGAAAATTCTCTCCTACTAAAAATTGTAGTCCTCAAAAAGTTATGCAAAATAAAAAAAAAATTCATGATTTTCGGATTGTGGAGCACAAAGTTATGGTCGTCCAAAGTTTGACAAAATCGAAAAAAGGCTCGTTCGGGGTAGCAAACGACGTTTTTTCGGGACGAAGGCGGGACCAAACCGCCTACGGCTGTTTGCGACTTGCAAGATCACCGTTTTTCTCTAACGCGGTGATTGCATCACCGCCCTTCTTTAACGCGGTGAAGCAATCACCGCCTTAGTATGACGCGGTGAAGACCCAAACATGCGTAGTTTGGGAATTTTTTTCATAACATGTGTATTTTGAGAATTTTTTTTAAAAACATGTGTACAGTGGGATTTTTTCCAGGAAACTTTCATCTTATGACTTGGGTTGTTGACCTCAAGGTTTGAATTCAGGTTGTGGTGAACATTCTCATCATCACATTATTACTAGACCAATTTTTTTGAATTACTAGACGGATTTTTAACCGTGTAAACATGAACATTTGGTAAATGACCATATCAACATGAGTGTACGGTTTGAACGACATTTGTTAAATCTAATGGTCGTTGACTAAATGTCTATGGATAACCACCAACCATAAAAACAAAACACACAACAGATCCTGCCATGAATATCATTTGCATCCAATCCAATCCGTCAACTAAAATATTCAATTAATCCAATCCATTTAATTCAAATTCAATTGGATTGGTGGGATCATGAATTGGATTAGGGATGATAAACGGTTAGTTGATTTTCGATTTTAATCGATAACCGAACCGATAACTGAATTATTAGTGGTTCGATTTCGGTTAGTGGTTAATCACTAACCACTAATCAGTTAGTTGTTAACCGATAAAAAAATTAATAACTTCCTACTAGTATAACCACATATTTGGAAATTTTCTAAGGGGCAAAATTTAAAGATTCAAAACCAACACAATTTGCAACTCAATTCACACCAATTGCAAAAAAAGCTCCACCCAAAGTCTCAAATATGTATAAGAGTAAGAATCTAAAAGTCACGCTTCTCTGTCTCTCCATTGCAGTCGACATAACGAACCTCGCACCCTATCTATGTTTCTTTGGTGTTTGCGAATGATGATGATCTTGTGGTGCTTATGTTTGATATATCTTGCTAGTTGGTACTTGCTAATTGAACAAAGACGTTTGATTATTCTTAATTTATGTGTTGGAATTTGAATTTTGAATTCACGATAGGTGTTGTATTTCATTAATGTTATTTCTTATAATTATGATTTTATGTTAACAATTTAGAAGTGCAGTTAAATTATTTTAGAATATTTGTATGATTATATTTTATTATTAACATGGACACCATACAAAATTTTAAAATATCAAAATAAAATTTTGCCATGTGGAGATTGTTATTGGTTAGTGGTTAACTGCTTAACTAACCGCTGACCGAATTGATAATAAGCGCTAACCGATAAGTCTTATCGATTTGGATTTTCCGTATGCATATTTTGCTTAGTGTTAACCCAACCGATTATCACCCCTTGATTGGATTCATGGATATTTGAAGATTAAAACTTAGTGCCTATACTTTTTATATTTTATATTTTACATTTTGATACCTAAATTATATTTTTTTATGTAAAATATCATTGATAAATTATTTTTGGTACTAAATTTTTTTATTATAACATTTTAGTACCTAAACTTTTCGAAATTTACATATTTGTCTAATGTTCAGATATCACTTGGATCCATGAATCCACCATTACATTCGATCCAAACCCATAAATCAACCTATCCTCCAATCCATTTGCTACCTCTGTCTCCACCCGATCTTGCCACATTACAGAGACTATTTCTCTGCTAATTTAGTTAAAGATGCGTATTTTCAAAAACTGAAAGAAACTACACTCCTTATATACAGAACGGTGGATGGAGTACTTGTGAGCTATGCCAAAGGAAGGCTGAAATGCCTCGCCCATAAACCAGAAGTCGTTCTTAATTTGGTATGTGGGTTCTCGATTGTTCTTCTGCAATCCTCGATCGATCACTTCTTCGATAGATTGTTCTTTCTTTTGCAAACGAATCGATCTATCTTAATCGCATATGCAGATACCAGCTGACATAGTGGTGAATGCAATCATTGGGGCCATGGGGATGGAATTTGCAGAGCAGCATTTGGATCTCATTTACCATTTAAGTTCTTCAATGAAGAACCCTATAAAGGTATCAGATATTCACGATTTCATGTTTACATTCTTTACTAAACATCCGTGGAGAGATCGCCATGGCAAGGAAGTGCAGGTTGCTAAGCTCACCAATTTTAGCTCCATGGCTTGTTTCCATGTTTACATGGCCATTCGTTTTCAACTCCCATTGAAGGTTTGATCCTTTTCCCTATTTTCTAGCTAGCAAAGGTGATTTCTCTTCAAAGCATGCCATATGTTTTTTTTTTTTGTGGCTATAGATACTGGGCTTACTGAATGCAATTCTCGGCCGCAAATGGGAAGCAAATTATGTTGCTCTCCATCGAAAATTCAAATCAGGAATGCAAGTGATCGATCTTTACAAACCCTATTTATTTTTCGAGGGAATGTAAGTATATTTATCAACTCTACTCTTGCTCTTGCATGCAAACAAGTCAACTTAGACCATAATCATATAGTAGTATTGGAGGTATGTCATGTGGCTCGGTCATTTCGTGGTCCTTGTTTACAGTTTCGATGACACGAACTTGGAGGACTTGCGAAAAAGGGTCAGTGAATTAGGGTTTTGTGAGAATGGGGATCAACTCAACATGAATACGAGGAGCATCAATTGGGAAGACTACATCATGGATGTTCACATTCCTGGCCTTGTTCAATTCGCCATGAAATGAAATCCACCCTATATTTAATGTGTTTAGATAGTGTAATTCATCATACATTCGTCCTGTAAGCACCGTGCTTACAAGACCACACATCTTCTTTTACTCCATTAGTCGGTATTTTGCTAAGGTCTAACATTTTGTGATTCAAATTTTTTGTTTGCGAGTATCTCGATTTCTGTTCGTGAATCCCATCACTTAAATGTATAGTACTTACTCTTGCTACTTTTGAGTTGGAATAGGTATAGAACTTACTCGTAGAGCTTCATCATCAGCCACCACTGCTCTCGCTCTTGCAAGAAGCAATTCGCTCTATACTATCACTTTGTCTGTCATCTTGTCCATACCAACCAACGCCGAGTTTGCTTTGCTTCCAACACCACTCAACTCACCTGTATTTATCGTAACGTGTAAAACCAAGCAACCTCTAGCATATATATTCATCCTAGTTCAAGACCATAATACTCTCAACAACTCCCATTAGCTCCTATTCTCTTCTGTTACCCTCCTCTCCTGCAAATCATCCTAGTACTAGGATATTTCAGCACATGACAATTAGGAAAATCAAGCCTGTAAACCAGAGATTTCACAAAGTTCATGATTCTATACTTCATGGTTACTCCTAGTCCTAGGCCTTCACTGATACACCAGAACAGAATGTATAAAGGGAGTAAAAGGAACTCACATGCAAGCCTGGCCACCCATTTCTCGACCCTGCAAAACGAATCCGAATCAACAGTAAATAAGTTGAGCAGTCCAACTCGAATCTCCTACAATCATATGTATTACCTTGCACCGAAACGCCGGCTCAGCAGATGGCAAAAGAGAGACAACCCAAACTTCCATCTTTAATCGTACCTGCACTATCGTTTAAGATGAAGAACAGTACATATAACTAAATGGGAAGTTCAACAGATCCCTGCGTCTTCAAAAGGAAAACATTCATGCCAATGTTACTGACTATTAATACCAATCCCAGCTCTGTTCCTTTGACTCAATCACCCCTTGGAAACAAAACATGCAACAGCAAAGAAATTATCGGAATAGGGCCACAAAAGGTTTCCTGTGAGTATAGACAATTGATGCTAATGTAAATTTTCATTTTCTCCCCACCTCTTCCTTTCTTGTAATTATTTTGCCACCCCCAAAGCAGGAGGGTACTTTACAATCATTTTCCCATCAACCAAATGCCTGCCCCCTCACCCCTTACAGTCCAATCCCTAGGATTACAGTAACCTAAAAGGGCACCTGACAGGGTAGTATACAGAACTAAAAAAGACCAGTATCCCAACAGTGCAGGCCATTCCCAGCTACCTCAAATCTCCAAATGCCACATACATCCTTCAGTTTGTTGGAATGAGGAACAACCAGCCAGAAAGCTTTGCCTGAAGAGCCTCTTCTAGCTTTTTGAGGAGCAGTTGACAACAAAAGCGAAACATAGACAAAAACAGAATGGTCGTTATGTTGCAGTCCAGCAACTCAAAGATGCCGGACTTACCCCTTCCACTGGTGTCAGTAACCAAAGAATTCTGTAATATAAAATCATGGACAAGGATCCAGTTTTACTGGTCTCCAAAAGCTGTTACAAGTTGACTGAAAAACTCCTCTACTGAGCAACCATTTTACCAATGAGCTGAATCTTGGTTATCAACACCCAATTCATCTTTCTGCACTATCTTGCCATCATCGTCCAAATTCAATCCATCAGATGATTTAGTTATGACAAAATCCTTGTCACATGATACTATAGGGTTGGATGCATTGCTGACAGCCACCACAGCAGAACCGGAATCATTTGCAGCAGGGTATTGTACAACATCAGTGATTAAGCCAGTAGTAGCTTCACCTGCTGCCTTTTCTTTAGCACCATCATCCAACTTAAGTCCTTCTGCAAAAGTGTCAGAGACCTTACTTAGGGTCTCGTAACCAAGTAAAGCTGAAGAATCCATAGCGGGAATCGTTTCCTGCTTGCTCCTCCTTTCCTTCAAAGTTCTCTCCCGCTGATCATAAAATTCAAAATCATCTAGGATGCATGTATGTGAGTCATGACCCTTGAATATATTCAACATCTCAATCCCATGTTCTAGTTTCACCTGCATCAGTTCCACATAACAGCGAACAGGTGAGGAAGTTTCCAACAGAACCCAGAATAGTTAACTTATAGGACGTGGCAACGAATCAAAGGGAATAAGAAATAACAATAACACCAATGATTCTGTGTATAGTGGCATCCAGTCACCAACAAACATCCCATAACCAGGTATCATACGCCACAACATAAAACATGTCATATGCTACGAAAGGAGAAGAGAAGAGAAGTTACATGGCCATATCTCATACAGCACTCATGTAAAAATAAATCTTATACCAACTGGTATGGAGACATGGTACAAAAAAGTATGCTAGGAAAGGAGAGAGAAGTTGCATGGCCAAAAACTCATACATCACTCATGTTTTAACAAATCATTCTAAGGATGCCAGGCTTATACAAAAACCTAAATAGCTAACATAAGATACCAGGATGGTTGAAAAATAAACACACTGGACTTCAACTCACATTTAGACTCCATAACTCATGTAAAATAAATCTGATACCAACCGGTATGGAGACATGGTACAAATAAGTAATCAAATCTCAGCCCAGACATCCCACTTGAGACCATATAATTCAATAACACCAACTGGTACAAAGACAGTACAAATAAGCAATCAAATCCCAGCCTAGACATTATGTAGCCAATATAGACCATATACTTCAATCAGCAGCTGAACATTTAAGGACTAGAAGACCTTTGAATCCATTGGGGACAATAAGTAAATGGGATGCAGTAAACATCCACAAAACAGCCTAAAAAAGAAAACTACCGAGCACCGTTAAACGATTATTATTCCTTTGAACCATTGGTAGAAAGCTTCCATTTTCCTGTGACTTCCAGCCAATTACTTACTCAGGCATTGTGCATGTAACCAAGAAGTATCAACGGGCAACAGAACCAGGAGTCTAAGTAATGATCAAAACAGAAGGTTGGACGAAAGAATCATAGAAGTAAACAAATTAAAATACCTCTTGACAGTCTCGACTATGAGTAACAGGTTTGTTGTCATTATTTTCAAGGATTATATGACGAAATCGACTGTTCGGAACATCTTTAACAATATGCCAGCGAACTGGAAACTGGCCACTCCACCTATCTTGCTGCCAGTAATCAGCATCGTTGCCAAAATCCACAGGGCCAAGCATTTCAGCTACCCCACAGAACTGTCCGCTAGCATTGACCTGCATGATAACATAAGACAAATTCAAGACTGCGTATTATGAGCACATGACATGATATAATAGCAGGCAAAAAAAACAATTATTCTATAATAAAGTAAATGCAACAGCGGAATCGACACCAGTGATCTGATTACATATAAGAGCACGAGTCACAAAGCTCCTAGATGAATACATTTCCGGTTTTCAATTGGAAAGTAAATGAGCAAAAACCTGAATGTGGAAAGACAGAAAAGGGGCTAGAAGAATATTCAGGTTGTCACTCAGCCATGGCCCATAATATTACAAGTTGATCAAAACTCATAATCCACCGAACACCCTTTCCTTATCAGGAGCTAAAATAAAGCAAGCCAGCATGGTGCATGTCACTAACATAATGCAAACTTCAGTGATGATAAAATTAGACTAATTCAATTATCCAAAAATGTATAGTATGACTATACACTACAGTATGTGGCAAAGAATAAACCTCAAGCAACGTACCGAAAACAAGAGAAATACTGGACATTTAGCATCTATCTCCTTCGCCTGGCTATAAGCAGCATCCAACTTTTTGTTCCCGTGAGGTGTGCTAGCCCATACCCCATATTTAATACTTTTATGCACATTATCTTCACTGAACGACTTTATTATGAAAAACTTTGCATTATCATAATCAGTCGCGAAATCTGGACGGTTGTATAAACTTGACGTAGCATCGGACCGTGATGATTCATCAATCCCATTACCAGAATAAGCTTGCTCAGTGGCAGTCTTACTTCTAACTTTTGAAGCCCGAGGTCCTCGATTACGATCAAACCCAAAAGACTCGCTCGCAAAATAAAGTGATTCTTGCTCTCTTTCTCTTCTTCTACCCTTATCAAGACCGAACCGTGTCCTATCTCCAGCATAAGAAACAGAACTGCCACCAAAGTTAGAGGCCTGATATGATCCCCCACGCTGATATCTTCCCATAGAGGAAGTTGAAGTTGATCCATATCCATGCACTGGTCTTTGTTGAGAAATCTGAAAAATGTATGAAAGGGCAATAACATTATCTCCTTGAAGACTGCTTAAGTAAATTCTCAAGATCCAAAATAAAAAACAAGAGACTGCATATTCATAAAAGTCATCTAATTTACCAAGATTCAGCAAATAAAAGAATAGCTCCAAACCAGAGGAAAAGTTCAGAACTTGAAACCAATTTGTATCACAACAATATTGATCATCCTCCGGAATGACAAGACTGCTTACAGCTCCAAAATTTCTTATTTTTGCCACAATTGCGGAACTAACAATGTGTTCAAAGTTGTGGCCAGGGAAAGAAAGGTCGCCACATGCCTTAAATTCCATAAAATAATTAAAACAAGTAGCAGTGCCAACAGAAAGTTTTCAAAAGTACAATTAGGATTGTACCTATTATATTGAACTCAGAATCATTGCTACTTAAGCGAAGAATCCAACAGATCTAAGGTCCTTATTGTCATAAATTATAACAGCACGACATCATTACAGCCTCCACATACATCACTGGCATTTTCTCAAAAATTATTTGAAGAAAATAGGACTCCATGTCAAACCCCCAATACACCTGTTCATATCCCCAACTTGAGCTATTCAATGGAACCAACACAGGTTCTAAGCTATATATATGCAGAGAGCAGTAATGCTAACGATACAGTCCAATAAATAAGTTTGTGATTATACCTAATGCAAGACTTTACGCAGAGGACAAAAAATGACAGAAAAACAAACCTGTCCAACATGGTGCTCGTATGGACCCAATATACCCATAGGTTGATGATAAGCAGCTGGAGATGCTAATGGACTGGTACCAGGTGCACCAGACATGCTCCCCCCACCGAAAGACCCATAATGCACAAAGTAACCGGAGCCAGGCCCAAACAGCAAGCTTTCATTATTACTTTCCGATGCCATAAACTCCGATGGCGAGACAGGGAAAGAGGAAGGGAAATTAGGGTTATGTTGGGGATAGAAAGATGGTGAGAATGGGATCTGCTGAGGAGAGTATAGTTGACCATCAAGCATTATGGAAGGCACAGGTGTGGCAACAGGAGAGTACTGCCCATATGTCATATCAGGATTGAAGCCATACCCAGAAGGATAAACAAGAGACGAGTTATCATTATATATCACCTGAATCAGAGCAAACATAAAGGGTGCAAAAAGGTCACTATGAGCTTGATGTAGAAACAAGCTACAATAACACAGAAAATAAGATAGGAAGATAACTCACAGGAGACATATGCAAACCCTCAGCAGAGCTAGGATATTGAGCGTATCCATCCCACGTACCGGTGCCATTGCCATAACCTAAATCCAGGACAAAGTAACAGTATGTGATGTCAAAATTTTGAACTCCAACTAACATTACCGCTTGGCTATCTTCTCAAAAACAAGACCATAGCAGGAAAAGTCAAATGTGCCATGCATTAAAGTTAAATAAAAGTTCTCACAACTGCAACACTTACAGGTCCATTTAGAGTTAGACTAATTGACAACCGAAGGAACATGGTTTGAGAAAAATATACAGAAGAAATTCAGTTTTGCAACTCAATCTACCGAGAGAGGGCAAGTCATCAAAAAATGAAAACAGGAGCCCATATACTCACTTCCATAAGAGAAGTTCTGCTCATGATGAGTATAAACATCATTTGGAGGTATAATGCGAAGACCTTCACTTGCATCTGTAGTATGTGGTCGCTCAATGGCAGACCTTGCAGGCCCTATGACTGATACATCGGAGGGGGGATTCCCAGCAACAATCCTATCATCCTTGGGAGATAGTGGCTGAGAATATATCAAGAAGCAATGTGCTATAATCAAAGACAGATTCCAATTATTAACATTAAAACATAAGACGAAGTGAGTCTTTGAGAGAGTTGACTAGATACCTGACCACCCAAGCTATCCCCCTCTGGTGTCTCTCCTGCATCCAGCACTGCCAAGCAACAGGCATGAGCACAAACTAGGGTTAATCATTTACAATTGTATTGTCTCTGAAAAGAATTCACAATATGCTGACAGCAGAATTAGGCGTTCGAGCGCAGAAGCACAAAGCCGGTACTTAGGCAATAAGACCACAACTAACGGCCCACATTCAAGACATAGAGCCCCCAAAAATATCTAAACAATTTCCCTCGTCAACGAGAGGGGACATGACTAAATCAAGGAAAAAGGTAGCACGGTTATGCTGCAGTTAGTTCTTTGTCATGGATAGAGTGATAAAAGCTTCACAAACTGCAAATGGGCCAACATCTTGAGAAACCATCACAATTGAAGTAAGACCCCAGGACAGGATCCAGTAAACAAACACAGCAGATTCCACCAAAATCAGAAAGGCGAGAAATCTACGTACTGCATTACTCCCAATCAAGCTCAAGAGGAAACAGAAAACAGTAAAACCCAAGCCACAGTACAAGAGAACTTCCACACCATCGCGCACCAATACGAAAAGAACCGACACAGACGAAAAAGGGAAAAGCAGCAGCGAAACAAGGAAAACAAACAATTGGAAGTGAAAAAACATGATAAACGGGAAATTTACCAGTAGGGATGACCCGATCTTGATCCTTCTGAGGAGCAGGATCCATGAATGATCCCAAATCTGAGATCTGAAGAGTCTCTTTCTGCTTTTTTCTTCCCAATTGACGACAAGGAACTCCCAACAAAAACAAAAACAAAACTCAGAAAAGAGGGGGGAAAGGAAATTGAAAAACCCTAACCCTAATTGAGAACCTTCAATGGTGAATCGAGAGAAACCATGGCGTTTGACTTTGGGAGGGAAAAAATCAAAAAGGACAAGACGCAGAAACGAGATCTTTTGAGTTTTGCGACATTCGAATCATATTCAAAATGGATTTTCGACTCTTTATTTACTTATATATATTTATATTTCACGATAAGTGAATATTTAATTATTTCGCCATCATTGTTTTCTGAACTCCGCGCCCGCGGCAATATAATAATTAAGTTTTTTTTTCTTTATTTCTTTTACCAAAATAAATTTCGTAAGCGAAATTACAGAAAGTCCACCGCTTCTGTTTTCATCCGAGCCGTCCATTCTTGCGAAGTGCAAATTATAGACGAACCAGATTTCCTGAGCGGCTACCGTCTCCTTTCTGCCATTTCTTTTCTTCCCACCACCGCCGGTGTTTTCCCAGCAACCAAACAGAAAATTTCCTTCTGTGGATTCAGATGCTCTGCCGTAAAATTAAGCAGCAAGTAAGTTTCTTTCCCTCCCTTTAGTTAGCGGATATGGAACCCAAGAACTGGAAATTACCGGCGAGGCTCGATTTTCTGTAGTGTGATTCTTTTTATTACTATTACTCTGCCGCAGTGGAATCAGAATGTGATGGCGATAAGATCCCAAATCCCGGCAGCGATGGAACTGCAGGGCCTCCGGTTTCGGACGAACATGGGGCAGTATCTTCTCCCCTCGACTTGAACCGGGGGGAGTCTTCTTCTCCGAATTGCGCGCCGGGAACCGCCATTTTCGAATTAGAACCGTATTTGGGCCAGGAATTCGATTCAGAGGTGGAAGCGGTGGAATTCTACTGTGCCTATGCGCAGCGGGTGGGTTTCGCAATCCGGATGGGGGATCTGAATCGGGCTCGAGATGGATCGGTGATCTCGAGGAGGATTGTTTGCAACAAAGAGGGGTATAGGAAGTCCCACAGGTATCAGCAGAAGCAGAACTTGGGGACAAGTGCTGCGGAGCGGAAGCGTCGCCATAGGGCTGTTACTAGGGTTGGATGCAAGGCGAAAGTAGGGTTCACGAGGCAGAAATCTGGGAGGTGGGTTGTGAAAAGCTTGGTGAAGGAGCACACTCATCCGCTGGCTGCTGCCACCCAGCTTCAAGATCAACGTTCGATAGGGACTCGCGTCTATCAAATTCCGGTTCGTTCCTTTCTCCCTGCTATTTTTATTCTCCAGTGTTCTCTTTAGGCTCTTAGCATCTAGCTGAAACGAACTGCCACCTTCAGCCGTAGATGCTCTATTGAATCCATTAGGAAACGGTAATAGGAATGAAGGATGCTTGATCTTCGAATGTCTAAATAGGAAGCGAAGGCAGAAGTCATTCCTTCTAATTAGTGCTTCCCATGTTGTTCATTTTGGGATAATCCTTATGATCATTTGTAATGTGTTTATGTCAGGAAGCAATCTCCAGATCATGAGGTGGTCACTGGCGCTACTGATTGTTGTTCTTCTTCATTTCTTTTTTGTTAGAAGCAATATGGATCTTTTCAGTCGTGGACACGTCTTAACGGACTCTTCTGATCAGGGTTCGAATTATGAGGATTAGGTTTTGTGCAATAATGAGTGCATTCTTCCTGCATTGCTAGAAGGATCATTCGGGTCCGTGTTGTATACGAGAAGAGTTTGTTAGTGTTCCTACAGCAGGGAGTTAATTGCTTAGTTAGATTCAAGTTTATTCTTCTTTAGAAGTCGAGACACTATCATCTCCTTGTTTTTTCATGCTGATTGTTTACAAAGGGATAAAGTTTGAGACTTTTGACTTAGATGTTTAGAACTCCAGTCATGTAACATGCAATGAACCCTTTTCTGCACACTTCCAATTAACAGCTTGCGTTCCCTTTTCATTATCTTCTTCATTTTGTTAATGGGATTACTGGTTTTTGCTTTTGCAGGCTGCTGATGAAAGGATCCGCCAACTTAGTGATGAGCTGCTAATGGAAAGAAAACGTTCGGCATCACTCCGAGGATATGTAGATCAGCTACTGAATCACATTGAGGAACATACAGAAGGGTTGACCCGAAAGATCCAACACATAGTAGAAAAAGTAAAGATGATCGACTCTGAAGGGAAAAACAGTTCAAAAGATACCTAGGAACTGCCTTCACTTTGTACCAATGTGAAACATTGTCGATTTCTTTTCCAATCCATCCATAATTTCCCCTGCTCAGCTGCTTGTCTCTGTTCTGTGGCTTCTGTAACTACGGAAACATGAATGAATGTGTATATGATTGAAGAGCTCCATTATAATTCTTTGCAAAATGTGCAGCAGATGAGGGGAGTACGTAATGCAACGTCCAACCTGGGAACAAGTTGGAGCATTTATGTGTTCTGAAAACTAAATCGTCCTGGGTGATCTGACTGGTTCAACCATAGCTCGGTCTAGTTTCAAGTTTCATTAGCCAACAGTGTTCTCCATTGTTGATATACCATTTCTCGTCTGTCCTAAAAATGATCGATTGAATCCATAATTTGTTGGAAAATGCTTTCAGCAATTTGGAACATATCTAACTCGAGGAATCAATCATTGCCGAGTCAGATGATTTCAATGCAACAAATCGAACTCAAAGAATCAATCATTACCGATTCAGATGATTTGAATTAACTCAAAATGAAAGAACTGATATGATATTGCTTGGATAAGAGGACAGGGTGAACAGAAAACACCACAATTCCATCAAATCTGTGAGTCATATTATCCGCTGCCCCAACCATCGACGACAGTTATTTTGGTTCTTCTTGTCGGACCTCGAACCCGAGGTCCGTCCTATTCTTCTATGTCAACCGTACAAACTATAATCAATCGAAGAATCATCACTAGCACCACAAGCTGCGTGCTAGTGATCATATACAAACATTCTCATGAACACACCAGCAACTGAGATATACAGAGAGACAACCAGCAAAACCTACAAACAAAATTCAGCTTCTCCAATGCCATCTCTTCTCTGCTTCAACTGCCCAACTTAAAAGCATCCACAAAGAGCCCCAGGCAGAGGCCAGCTTTCCAAAAATTCAACATCCCAACAAAATACCTGAACCTCTCATCTTTCGATAACGAAGCAGGCCTGATCTTTCCATACATGAGCACCCCAATCCCTTCGATCGCCGCAACCACAACACCAGCAACCAGCACGTCCCAGTCCCCTGTCTGCCCCAGTATCGTAGCCAGCGCGTTCGCTGTGTAGAATCCCAGCAGCAGGAGGAACACCTTCATGGGGAAGTTCTTCCTTGTCGAATTCAGCTTGTCCAGTAGCTGCCTCCCACCTGCACTGACTATCCGCCCCAGCCTCGTACCGCCAAGCCCCGAACCATCACCACCGCCATCGCCCCCATTGAGGTTCTGCTCTCCATTACCCGGTAACCCACCGCCCGTGTTCAATGCCAAGGATATTCTCCACCACCGGTACAGTCTAGGTTTTGCTCTAGTGATCTGAATCCTACAGGGAGAAAGAGAACTCAGACCAAAGTGGGATGGATCCTATTGCATTATGGAACATGGCATTGAGCAGGGATTGAACTTACTATCACTTGATCACTGTAATCAAAGTCAGAAGTAGGTTGGCTCTTATTGAATTCAACTCTACTGAGTGAAGGGAAATGATACCTCCTGTTGTTATCAGGGAAAGGCGGAAACTTTACGCCGCTGGTTGGAGTTGGGAACAGTGGGACGCTCCAGCTCTGCAGCGCACAAGGAAATTGCACCATGGAGAAAGGGTTTTTTTTCCTGCATACAAGCGCAATGTTGGAATACCGGCTGTTAGCTCGTCGGAGGGAAAGGGGGGAAGAAATGGCGTAAAGCTAGGGGGAAAGGGGATCTTAGGGAATTAAGGAGGCTGCTTACCGTTATTGCGGGGGACGGTGGCGGGCGAGGCGGGAGCGACGGCGGGCGAGGCGGAATGGAAGTGCGGTAATTATCGGGCGGAGCAAGAGGGTCAGCGTGGTGGTGACTACTGACTAGGGTTTGGACTGGAAAAAATGGAGGAAAAATGTTATCGTAGTCGCAAGTCGTAAGTCGTTCAGTTGTGGAATGGCGGAGCCGGGCTAATTAGGTGTCAATGTCATGTGAGGACTGAGGACGGTTGTTAAACCGTTTTAAGTCGTTGAGTTCGTTAAATAAGTGGTTTAAGATTTGATAATTTAACTGAAATTCAATCTGTTTGATCTGTTTTATATATATGTTCTAAAACTATATATAAATAAATAAACCAAAAAAAAAACTATATATAAATAAAATTTTAATTTAAAATTTTAATTATAGAAATGAGATTTACTTTACATGTATCATTTAATAATTTTACGTTTTAAGTATTTGTATCTATCTACAAAATTTATAGGGTAAAATATTTGGGGTACCACTAAAATATGATAATTGGGTAGCTATATCACTCATGTAAGAATAGGGCGTCGGGCATCGAGTGCCACTAATGTCATTGAATTGTGCATTCGGTCATCGCCGACATCCTCCTAAACTCTTAACTTCCTAATTCCGTAATCCATAGCCACAATCGTAGCCAAATTCAGTCAAGGGAGAAAGAGAATAGTCGGGCAACACAGTAAGAGCCATCTCAACGTCACCGTCGAACACCCTCACTCACATGTATCCCCCGTCATTGTTGAGTCTGGTACAATTGGTTCTCCGGAGTCATTACCTAGTTCAACGACGTGGCCGCGACGAATGTTGTAACCTCCCGAACCTTTTCCCGACGGAGATATTGTCCGCTTTGGGCCTCGACCCTCACGGTTGTCGACTTGTGGTGCAATTCAAGGTGACTTCCCATAAGGTCACCCATCCTTGTTGTACTCCACACTGAGCACGTTTAACTTCGGAGTTCTCACAATAACTCCTCCATTTCACCCCAAAACGCGTCTTGTTAGTTAAGGCCGGTTTCCTACTTATGAACCATGGATCTCTCCCGTGCTTTGTCGATGTGGGATTTGCCTAAGGTGTTACAAATGCGCTCACCTGTATCGAGTTCAATTTTTTTGTCCCCCCAGTAGAGTCCGAAATTTTTTGACATGTTGCCATTAGCTATGACCTAAGGAAGTAAGGAACCATATTGAGTTGAGTAGCCAAATCTTACAAAA